AATACGTTCAAAATAAAGACAAATTTACATATCAATAATTGACACCCAGGTAAGCTAAAGGTAAATACGTTCAAAATAAAGACAAATTTACATATCAATAATTGACACCCAGGTAAGCTAAAGGTAAATACGTTCAAAATAACGACAAATTTACATATCAATAAATAGTATCTATGTGAATTAAAGATAAAATAAGCACAAAAGAATATTTTTATTATCACAAAAAGATTTATTTATTTGTGAAATAAATAAATAAAAGAAAAAAGGTGAAAATTCATTTATTTCTTCAACTTTTATATGTTTATCCAATCATTCGATTTGAAAATGATAAAAAAGAGAAAAAAAAAGAAAAAGAAAATCGATTTATAACTAATAACCTTTTTCATAAATATAATAATTAAATTTTATTTGTAAATATTTTAATCAATTACTGATAATATATGTTGATTACAATGATAGTAATGATAATGATGAATGTTATTGAAGAAATTAGAATGTAAAATGATGTGCAAATTGAATTAAACCGATAAGATATTATGATAATTGATTTATGATTAAAAAAAAAAAAAGAAAAAAATATAACAAATCAAAAAACATTTTATTTCAATGAATGAAATTATTAAAAAAAAAAAAAGAAAAATTAAAAAAAAAGAGGAAAATATTAGAAATAAGTTATAATGCAATATTAGCATATACACTACCATTCGTTTATCGATAAGAAAGAAAAGAGGAAAAAAAAATCAAAGGTCAAATTTTGTATCATAATTTGACCAAAAAAAGGTCAATGTGTAAAGCAGGAAATACATACAACATCATCATCATCATCATCATCGTCATCATCATCGTCATCAAAGCCTATGACAATAGATATTATGCAAGAAGATTTATTCTTTGGTCTAATTTTTCTTTTAGAGATATAGGAATAGGAACAAATTATAATCAGTAATTAATTTTAAAATGTTTCAAATTAATGAAAAATTACGGGAAATTTTTGTAATAGTATGAAATTTCAATTCGAATTTAAATAATATCACTTGTAATGCTATCTAATAGATTTTTGAAACATTTACTAGTAATCATAATTTAACAATTATATGGATTAAATTGTTATCATTTATCAAAGGAATATGGTTATATTGATAAATGATTAAAATTGATTGATTCGATTTTTCATTTCATATTAATTCGAATATCGATTTTTAATGGTGAAATTAAATTTTAAGTTGCAAAAGCAAAAAATTCACTTTAATTTTTGCTTTTTTTTTGTTGGAAAAATGAATTTTGAAATAAATTTTTGCTTACATATTCATTTGAAAAATTACGATAAACTTTCCATAAATATAAATTGTTCGCAAATATATTTCAAAATTTTTTCAACGACTAACTAATCATTAAACTATAAATTACATGCCGAAAATATAAATAATCCATTTTAACTAATAAATTAAAGAACAAAAACAAAAATATATTTGTATTTGGGTAGCAAAACAAAAAAATGCACGAAATAAAGCAAAATTAATTAAATTGAAATAAAATTAACAAATGGTAATGATAGGTAATGCAATTTATAAATGATAAAATTTAGAATTTAAGTAAAATAAAATTAAAAGAAAAAAAACAGAGAAATTGGAAATGTGTATCTTTTCATTTCGATAAAATTGTACAAAATGATTTTTAGTAGAAAAAATCTGAAAATTGAAATAAAACGAAATCGAAAAAAAACAGAAATTGGAAATGTGTATCTTTTCATTTCGATAAAATTGTACAAAATGATTTTTAGTTGAAGAAGAAAATAAATTGTCAGTAATTTACAGGTTAACGAAGAGCAAACAAATATTCCAATGATTGATAGATAAATTACAACAACCTAATATTAACCTTTTTTTCCTATCATTTCATGTCTTTCTTATTTTAGTGTAAAATTTGTGAAAAATTAATAGTACAAATGTGTAAGTGTTGAAATATTAACGTATCATCCGGTTTTAGTATTATATCGATGATAATTATATTTCTTTTATACTAATATTCATATCCGGATACATTCCGGTTATTCCGATTATAAGCATATTGGCAGTTTTCAGAAATTTATTAATGTTCCTAATTTCTTAATCTTTTCTAGATATATCATTGTAAATTTGATTATTTGACAACTGTACCGAATATATTTTATGATTTAAAAGAAAACTTTTTATGTTTTAAATTTTGCAATTCAAAGAAAAGAAATAATTTCTTTCTATAGGAATTACAAATGATTATGGTATGATGATGAATGTGAAATTTTTGTATGAATTTAATTAATATGCCAATTTTGATGTGTATTCCGTTACTTTACTAAAATAATTTTTTACTAAAATAATTGAATAGGATGGGTAATACAAAATGAGTAAATCAATTGATTAATTACAGTCAAAGTTTCATTTTGAAGTTTATAAAAAAATGATATGAAAACATAAAAGAAAAAAATTAACGGATTAAATATGTATAAAGAAATTATGGATCTAAAATTAATCGATATTGATCATCATCCAATAATTGAATTGATGTTGTAAATATGACATATCGATTTTCCAATGATCGTTGAATTGCAAAAGCAAGTTCTTGTCGTTGTGTTCGTGTCAGCACATTTAGGATATCAATTGTAAGTGTTGCAACTTCATGAAATGATTTAAAATTACCCTAAAAAAATTTTTAACTTTTATCCTGAATAATCGGAATTTTCAAATTTTTAAATTTTTAAATTACCTTCAATTTTTAAACTTTTAATCTGAAAAAAATTTTTAACTTTTATTTTTTTTTGCGCCAAAAAAGAGAAATAATATCATTAAATTTATTTAAATAAAATTAATTGTTTATTTTTTAAATGTTTTAAGAAAATGTGAAATATTGATGAAGCGTTTTTTTTTCTAACAAACTTTTTGTCATCATACTTTATTAAGACATGTCGTTGTCTCTTTTGCTTCACATCGTAATTTCAATACATTCTCGTCAAGAATGTAAAAAAATTTTCCTTTGATATAAGTTGCTTTTGCAATATTAATATCATTAACAATAAATGCTGGATAAGGCCAAAAACTTGTTGTTATAATAAGTCCTTCAGGTATGACACCGATTGAACGAAATGCTTCCATTACCTGTAGATATTAATTTTTAGATAAATGATACAACCATTCATTTAAGCCTATTAATATTATCATTTATTATTATTATTATTATTATTATT